AACAAGGAAAAACAAAGAAGAATTGAAACATGTTGTTAGTGAAGAATTTTTATATACCTCATACTTCCAGAAGAAAGCTGTCTAGAAAGGACAGACAGAATGCTACTTAAAAATGAGAATGGTGAGACTTAGTCTTACATATGTTGGGTACTTCATCAGAAAGGACCATGCCTAGAGAACAAAACCTTGCTTGGAAAAGGAAAACTCTAAAAAATCCCTCAAACTCATTGCTGTGGAGTCAGACCTGATTCTTGGATGACTCTCCAGCAGGTTTCCAGAAGTTGTGAATTGCAGAGGAGGAGATTCACTATCTTTCCCCATCAGAATCATTGGTAGATTTGAACTGCCAGAGACAGGCCACGATTAGGTTAGCAACACCATTTGCTACAGACTATGCCACTAGAGGTCCCTAAAACAGTAGAGTAAGTAAAAAGAAGATGACTATCATGAGATATCCTGACACAGTGGTTACAACAATGGGCTCAAGCACAATGACGAATGGGATGGCACTGTAGGATCAGGCAGGGTTTCATTCTGTTATACACAGTGCACTGGGAGTCAGAACCAACTCAAAAGCAACTAACAAGCAGCTGCCAGAGCTTCATAGAGGGAACAAATTTTGATTCAGGCCGTGGTCTTTCCAATCACTTCCTATGCATCTATGAGCTGGACAATGATTAGGGGTGACAGAAGAATTGATACCTTTGAACTGTGGTGTTGGAGAAGAGCCCTGAATGTCCCATGGAGAGCCAAAAGAACAAAACAAGTATGTCTTGGAGAAAGTGCAGCCGGAGTGCTCTTTGCAGGCAAGGATGATGAGGCTTCACCTCACATACTTGGGGCATGTTGCTGGGAGGGGGTGTTCCTTGGAGAGGGTCATGATGCTTAGAAGGGTAGAGGTTCAGTGAAAGAGAAAATGACCTTCTACTAGGTGGATTGACATGGTGACTGCCACAACCAGCTCTAATACGTTAAGAAGTGTGAAGATGGCACAGGAAAGGACAGGGTTCAGATTGATTTTTCATAAGGTCACTGAGTTATACTCAACTCAATGACACCTAACAACAACCACTGCTTTAGGAAGAATATGCTTCCTCACCTGACGATCACCTGGAAGGGGTAATTCTGCACATGTGGTAATAAGGCGGCCATTCCGATAAATCCATAAGCAATTCTAACCTTTCTTAACAGCAAGAAAATCTTTAATTTTAATTGTACTTGTTTTTAGTCTGCTTTGGGGTTTTCTTGACCTTCCTCATGGTTGTGTTTTGGATCACAAGGACTCTCTTGTTTCTGTTTCATTTCCACCTATGGTATATATATTATAGTGAACTCCCAGTAAGACAAGAGGCGTCAATATCATGATCGCTTCCACAGAGTTGAATTTCCAGATTTTATCTAACATGTTCCCTTGTCCAGGAGCAAATATTTTGCTATGGTTTTCTGTTTTAACGGTAGCCTTTTGTTAAATGTGTACCAAGTCCCAGGGACTATTTAAGTAGGATGGAAGACGTGTTGGTCCTCTGAGCACATTTGGACATCCAGAATTTGATTCTTCAGTCTTCTCTTTACACAGAGCAATGTGCAAAATGCCAGGGTTCCAATATTCATTTCTACCCTGATTATAATCCTTTCTTCCTAAAAACTGGAGCATATGTATATGCATATGCATGAAGTACATGAAAATTTGGAACAGAAGCTCTGCGACCTTGGACTGGCCTGTGTAGCTATTTATTCTGCTTAGCACATTATTGAATTTTAAGGTCAAACTAATGTTTTCTCAAAGCCATAAGACCAGAAGTGGGGCTACTGAGCAGAAAACCATGGAGGATAAAGGTACAAGATTGTAACTATCATCGAAAGGACAAAAGGTGAGACTAGTTTAAATTCAAGTCTCAGGGAGCTGAGACATTTCTGCTATTTACCATCTTGCCAGATCACGATCAAAGTTACTCAATTAATTTGAGCAGTTCCAGAAATGCAACATTTCAGGAGAACTTGTCTGTTTATGACCTTAATGCACAGTGCCCTGGAAGATTGAGCTCTGGAATAAGACCACAGTAGGATCACATCCTTCACTGGAGTCTATAAACTCCAAGAATGTGGAATAAATACTGAGTTATGGAAATCAAGTAGAAACATCAACTAGTGATTTGAGCTTTAGCTTAATCTCCTTAAGTCTTTCTGCTCTCTAGTCATGTCATTTTAATTATAATTTCAAGCTAAAGTGTAAACATTTTAAAACTTACTTTTCTTCTCTTCAATTGTCAAAATATTCTCTCTTTCTACTGTCAGGAATATATTTTAATGTTTAACCAAGAATTATTTCCTCGCTATATTACTGACTTTTATATAGTTTTTTAATTTCCATGGTTCCAAAGACACTATTGGCTTAATGATAAGAAATTGTGCTGTCAACCCAAAGATAATGCGGTTTGAATCCACAAGCTGCTCCACAGGAGAAAGATGGGCACTCTCCATTCGTGGGATTTCCAGCATCCGAAAACTCACTGGAGGGTCATCTATAAGTCAGTTCTGACTCTTGGGTATGTAACAAGAATAACCAAGATAAGAACATTTTACTATGTGTGTATTATTAAGGGAATGGCTAACAGAAGGAACTGGAAGCAGGAGTGGCATCCACTTCTTAAACAACTTGCCTCCGGAAACTCTGAACTTTGATAAATGTCGACAGTTAAAGAGGAGCTTCAGGCCTTTTGTTCATAGGGTCCCTATGAGTCGTGCTGGACTTGCAGGCAATCAACAACAACAATAGAAGGAATGGTTATTTGGCTTGGAGTGGTTAGCACCCTATTCCAGCAGAGTAAAGACATTATTAGGAAATGAAAGCAGGGAAATAAAGAAAAATATACTTGCAAACAACTGCTTTGGTATGCTTAACAGTATTAGGATTATCAGAAAAATTGGGAGAGCCATATAAATTTTATGTTTAAAATGATCTTCCTAGGAACTTAAACCTTTTCAGAAATTGTGTTCAAATTATTTTAATTATTTTAAAGCGTGGATTATTGAAGGCTTCAAATGATTCAACTCAAAGCTATTCTTCATTAGGTTTCTGAGACTGTGAGTCACAATGAGAGAAGACTCCAGCAGATAAGCTGGTGGATTCTGTAGGAAATAAGCCTTTGGTTAGTAGCATCAGACCCTAAAGATGAGGTCAACAGAGCTCATTAAGGCTTTCTGTTAAGTGTCATCAAGTTGGAATCAATTCATAGCTGACCCTCCAGGCACTTTTTATCATATGGGAGAAGACTGCCTATCTTTCTCCTGTGGCACAGCTGGTCGATTTAGACTTCCCATCCTTGTGATTGTAGGGCAGCTTCTTACCACTAGGCCACCAGAGCTCCCTAAACATCTAAATAAGAATCTCTAGATGAAGCTTTAAAAAAAGAACTAGTGGCAAGAGTTTGAGGCCATCAACTACTCCATGGGAGAAGGATGGGCAGTCTCCTGCAGTGTGATCTGCCTCTGAAAAACCTCTGGAGGGTCAGCTATGGGTTGCTTCTGACTCTATGGTATACAATAAAAACAACGATAATACTCTTTGATGCTTTAAAAGTTACTTTAAGTAACTTTAAGTTTAAGTACTTCAAGTACTTTAAGTTTACTAGAAGTATAATTCCAAGCAGGCCTTCTATATCATTTGGAAAATTTAAGATATCCAAAGGATAATTTATTTCACTGTGACTGAAGGCTAAATATAAAAATCCACTGTGATTGATGAAACATCATGAAGAAATGAAGGAATTTCCAGAATTATAGTAGCTATATTTTTAGAAATATCTGAGTAGTAGCTTCATTAGACGTTGTGCCTTCATCTGGCCTCACTAAACAACTGAGTAAACTAATATCCCTGAAAATGTTTGCAAATGAATTCCCAAATAAAGCAATGTATAGACATCTTTGGGCTAGAGATACATTCTGTAAACAGGAAACCAAATCTGTTTCCTGACTATTCTATAGAAGGCAAAAAGAAGGAATTCTGTTCAATTTGCCCATATACTTCCTATTTATTTAATTTATATTTACCAAACAATTTTTGCTTCTATTTTTCACACTATTGGAGCAATAAGTCTGCTAAATGTATTGGTCAGTTAATTTTATTTTATTCATTTTATTAATAGTCTGTGTAGTTTTTTCATATGCTTGAAAAACATTTTTATTACTAGCTTTAAAAACAGACACCAACTTACACATGAATTAAACTCAAACTATTTTAACATATGAAACATGAGAAAACACTAAATTTTATGTATCTGAAAGTAATTTAATTCCAAATTTTTCTGAAAAAAACCTTAACATCAAATCTGTTTTAAAGTAACTCAGATAATTTCTTCCTCTTAAGTATTTAATCTAAAATATAACTACTCTTAAATATAATCTTTTGTTAAAACTTTTTTATGTAGAAAAATGTCAGCAAGAATACTTCCTTTTTTCCTTCTGACACATTCCACCAAAATGCAGTCATTACACTACCATAAATTTGGAAATAGTTAAACATCAGTAAGTTTTTGTCATCTACAGGGCCCACATGAAAAAAAAATCCAATACTAATGAGATATGCAAATTCTTTCTGCTTAATTACCCTTCAAATAATCAGAAAAATAAACCTTACAATTCAAAGGGTAATTAAGAATAAGTATTTGCATATTTCATTAGTTTTATTTCCTCATGTAAGATCTTCACTCTTTTGCCATCTGCTAATCTTCTCGAGTTTATTATTTTCAATATTAAACTCTCAAACTAGTTAATCTGTGGTTGTTAGTAGTCACTCTAAAGATTAAATACAATAATTTTATTGATATTCTTTTGGTTTTTTATTAAATACGATGACTTTGTTTTGCAAAGAGCTACTACTGTGCAAATGTTCTTTAAAAAAATTGAGATAATGTGAATGAAGAAAAGGGTGAAACACTAAGAACTTTTGTAAGAAAATCAATTTAAATTTTTTTTAAATGAAATCATGCTTTTTCTCTTACTTCTTTTTCCGCATCTTCCAGCTTCTTTTTCTTACTCTCAGGCATTAAGTCATCCAACCAGCTGAGTTCCCGTTTGGTAAACAACAAGTCCATCAGCTTTCTTACAAATACCAGAGCTAATACCTGAAGCAAATAATAAAAACCATTTAAAACAGAGGAAAAATTAGAAAGTGAAGATGTAAGGTGGAGTTAGGGGGAAAGGAGACAGGGGAAACAAGTTAATTTAGTTTAGGGCTAAGATTAAAGCAAATACTGAACACCTGGATGTTCACTTTGTTCATTTCTATTCCTGATAACCTCCTCAGAATAAAAGCTATGATTTACTAATTATTGAAGTCATTTGAAGAAGCTTTAAACAAAAAATAAGCAAAACCCTATAACATGCATTGTTGTGTTGTTGTGTACCATGGAGTTGGAATCAACTCATAGCTGACCCTCTGGTGGGTTTTCAGAGGCAATTAATCACATGGGAGGAGATTGTCCATCTTCCTGCAGAGTGGCTAGTGGCCTTGAATCATGCGCCTTCGAGACTGCAGTGTGACTTCTTGCCAATAGGCCACAAACATTGGACTCTAAATTATGCAATTAATGCTTTCCATTATTTTAGAAACATTAGACCATTCTTATGAGTGCTGATAATATTTAATGACTTAATACTCTCTCAAATTAACAATATTTGATATTATAAATTAAATCTTTAAGAAATTAGTATTAAAAACAATCTAACGTGCAAATTTGTTAATAAATTGTTTAATTAAATTTTCAAAGGTTTTACTTCTTCATTAAATCACAATTAATTTAATCAGAGTCATTATGTTATAGTCAGCTTGATGGCACCTAACGACAACATTACCGAGGTATAGAATTCTAGAAACACAAAACTAGGTTCCATCATAAAACTCTTATAAAAAGTCAAACCATATCCTAGGCACCAATATTAATTATAAAGTTTATAACAGGGTTTCTAATAATTGTTTAGAAAGACCCTAATGGCTATTCCCCTATTTTCAGAAAGAACAGAAAATCAGAAAAGCTGATTTTGAAATTTCTTACCATCATGGGGAAAACAATAGCAGCTCTTGAGACTTTTATTATCCACAAAAGGCCGAGGCAACTTATCTGAATGACTGTGAAGAGGTGGACTTTCCGGAGAGGAACGTGCCTTAGGTATATAAAATCTGGCTGATGTTTTGCAGGCATCCAGAAGAGCCGTATTCTATCAAATAACTGTAAGATAAACAGACCAAATTGGTTTTCAGAGAAGTAGAAAAATTAATATAGGAAAAAGAAATTTCTAGTGTGGCACAAAGGGTGTTCTGGTGGCATAGCCGGTAGGAAGGTGTGCTGCCAATCCAGAGGTGACACCTCTCTAGTGGGTTGGAACCCCCCCGGAGGCTCCGAGGAGAAAAGGGAAACCCCTCCTGTGCAAGTTACAGTCTCTGACAACACAATGGAAAGGCAGCTATGAATTAGTTCTGACCCAAAAGCAAGTAGCTCAAATTTTGAGTATGAATGCAGTTCAAAATTTTTGGTTCACTGGAGCTGATATTTGAGCTCTAGGATAATGGGATTGTTGTGCTTACACTCTAAAATACTACAGCATCAATTTAACACTATTACAAATTTACTTTAATATATCTAGAAGAATTTTAAAAATTATTAAACCTAAGGCTAATGCTTCCTGAGAGACAAAACAGTTTTTTTAACACATAATAATCTCCTCCTTCATATGTTCCTTAAATATCAGGCCTACCACTTACCTGTCAGTTTATCCTACTGTGGTAGTTTGTGTATGGCTGTCACGCCAAATTGCATGAAATTGATATACTTAAATGGACTAGTATTAGCAATTTAGAATGTTGTTGTTGTTGTTAATGCTGTTGACTATGACTCATAACAACCCTACAAACAATAGCTCTGAACCCTTGCATTAACCTGAGCCAACCTTACCATCTCCAACACGTCTGACCTCATTGCCAGTCACCGTGCAAACCCATCTTATCCAGAATTGAGCTGACCTTCTACACTTCCCTTTTCCAATGACTGGAACCTCCTGACAACATGCCCAAAGTATGTGAGATGGAGTTTCAAAATCCTTGCCTCTGAGGAGCAGCCTAGCTCCACCCTCTACAGAATCTATTTGTTCCCTTGTTAGTCCATATGTTCAGTACTCTTCTCCAGCACAACAACTCAAAAACTTCAATTATCTTCCATCATCTTTAGTCATTGTCCAGCCCTCAGATGCATAGTAAGCAACTGAGAAGACCATGACTTGTATTAGGCACATGTTACTCTTTAAACTGACATCATTGCTCTCTAGCACTCTGTAGGAGTACTTGACTGCTGTTTTTTCCCCAGTGCAGATTGTCTTTTGATTTCCTCACTGCTGGTGTCAAGAGAGTTGATTGAGATCTGAGCAAAATGAAATTGTTAACAACTTCAATCTTCTCCCCATCTAGCATGATACTGTCTATTGGTCTGGTTGTGAGGATTTTTGTTGAGATGCAATCTATACTGAAGGCTGAAGTCCTAGATCTTTTAACTGAGTGTCTTATATCCTCCTCAGTTTCAGAAAACTAGTTTTATTCATCTGCATAATGTAGGCTATTTTAAAGAGTTTTCCTGGGGAGCTCTGGTGGCCTAGTGGCAAGGAGCTGCAACTACAATCCCAGAGGAACATGGTTCGAATCCACCAGATGCTCTGCCGGGAAAAGGAGGGACAATCTCCTCCTGCACCATTCAGATCTGATTTGACGGTACACACACAAAAAAATAATAAAATTTAAAAAAATATTAAAAAAAAAGAGTTTTCCTCCAATTCCCATGCCATATTCTTCTTCATAAAGTCCAGCCCCTTGAATTATCTGTTCAGCATATAGATTGAAAAGGCATGGAGAAAGGATACATCTCTGACACACTCCTTTCTTGAATTTGAACCATGCAGTGTCCCTTGTAGTGTCTGGACAACTTCTTGGTCTAGGGATAGATTTTTTATGAGCACAGTCACGTGTTCTAGGATTCTCATTTTTCTCAATATTATTTATTGTCAGGTACCGTCAAGTCCGAACCAACCCATAGCTGACCTTCCAGTGGGTTTTCAGAGGCAGTTAATCGCATAGGTGGAGATTGTCCATCCTTTTCACACAGAGCAGATGGTGGACACAAACCACGTGCCTTTGGAATTACAGCACAACTTCTTATCACCAGACCACTAGAACGCCCTATTTCAATGCCCCTTTTCAATGAAGGGTAATCATATATGGTCTACCATGCCAGTAACAATAAACTGAAGAGGAGTGGTATCACATTCTTTGTCAAAAAAGAACATTTAATATTTATTCTGAAGTGCAATAATGTCAGTGATACGATAACATCTGTAAGACTTCAAGAAAGACTAGTTAATATAACTATTAATTAAATGACTGCAACAACCAGTTATGTCAAAGATGAAAAGAAATACAGATTTTTTAATCAACTTCTGCAGTTCAAAATTGACCAAATATGCAATCAAGACATTTAGAATTACTAGTAACTTGAAAACAAAGAAGGACCGGTAGTTGGAAAATACTGTCTGGATAACAGAAATGACATTGGAGAGTGGATAAAAGAATTTTGCATGAACAGTCACTAAACCACTGTAATTCTCCCTTTTAAAAAATGTAAGTGGTAATGATATACATATGTCTTTTCAGATGGAATCAGGTCAACTGTGTCTGTGGAAAAGAGTTCAATATTAGAATAAAACTTGGGGTCAACTGTGAAACAAATCACCAACTGGACATTTGTAAGCTGAAGCTGAAGGAAATGAAAACAAGTTCAGGAGAATCAACGTGCACACTTGAATATATGTCACCTGAATCTGGAGAAGAGAGGTCTGGTGAACTAGTCCATAGGACTTTGTGCTGCGAACCGAAAGGCTGGAATCTGTTAGTGACTGTGTGGAAGAAAGATGGGTAAAATATGTGTGATTCATAGTTTTGGAAACCTAAGGGTAGGTGAGTGAGAAGTTTGTTCTGACTCCACAGCAATGACTTTGAGTTTTCTTTTAATATTCAGAGAACTTCTGAACAGACTTGATGCATTGAGTACTAATAAGTGAAGACCAGATGAGTTACAGGATAACATGAGGGACATTATACATGAGAAAAAGAAAAGACCTATATGAATATCAGAAAAGACCAAGAAACTAGTTGGTGAACATAAAGTAACTAAAGCAAGTGATAGAAATGATGAGGTAAATGAACCAAATAGAAGATTTCAAAGGGTGGCTTGAGATGATAAGGTATAATGAAATGTGCAAAGACCTGAAGTTAGAAAATATCCAGCATATCCCAAGCAAAAGCATAAATAAAAATTCAAACCTAAAGTCGCAATACTGAAAGATTTTATGGGTAAAATATTGAACGACACAGGAAGCATCAAAGAAGGAAGGAAAACAAAGTCACTGTACCAAAAGGTACTGGATGATAATAAATAATTTCAAGAGTTAGCATATGACCAAGAACTGCTGGTACTGAATGAAGTAAGCTGCATAGAAGACATTGGTGAAAAACCAGGTTCCGGGAATTGAAAGAGTATCAGTTGAGATATTTCAACAAATGGATGCAATGCTTGAAGTACTCATTCATCTAAACCGAGAAATATAGAAGAGCTGGTTAACTGAGTGTGAGAGATCCCTATTTGTGCACATTTCAAAGAAAGGTAATGGAACAGAATGTGGGAATTATCCACCCATCACTCATATCTCATACAAGTAAAATCACATTGAAGGTAATTTAAAAATATTTACGGCAGTGCATAGACAGGCAACTTTCAGACATTCAACTGGATTGAGAAGAGGATGAAGATCAAATTATATCATTGCTCCTAACAGATGTCACTTGGTTGAAAACAGAGAATACCAGAAAGATGTTATCTGTGCTTTGTTGAGTGTACACAGTCATTTGACTGTGTGAATCATAACAAACTATTGATACTATTACCAAACAATGGGAATTACAGAACATTCATTGAGATCATGCAGAAACTGTACATAGGTCAGGAAGGATGAGTTTCAGGGTGACATATGTTTACTCTATTTATTCAATCTTTATGATGAGCAAAGAGTCATTGAAGCTGGACTCTTTTATAAGAATGTTGTTGTTGTTGATATGTGCTGTTGAGTCACCTGCGACTCACAGTGACCCTATGTACAACAGCCCTAAACCCTGCTCTATCATGTGCCAATCGTACTGTCTCTGACACACTTACCCTGAGTACCCCAGTAACTGAATCAATCCACCTCATAGAGGGTCTTCCTCTCCTGCGCTGTCCCTCCACCCTCCTGAGCATGATGTCCCTCTCCAAGGGCTAGTCCTTCCTTACAACATGTCCAAAGTATGTCAGACGAAGCCCCAGAATCCTTGCCTCCAAGGAGCTGCCTGGTTTAACAGTCTCTAGGATGAACCTGTTCATTTCCTTAGCATCAATTTCTCACGAGGATGTCAAGGATTTAATTTTACCTGATCCATAATTAACACCTACGGAAGCAGCAGTCAAGGAAATCAAATAACATATTATACTGATAAATCTGATGCTGATGTGGCAATAAAGGATTAAAAGAAAAAGATGTCACTTTGAAGTTTGAAGTATGTCTGATCCAAGCATGGTCTTTTCAATCATCATATATACATCTGAAAACTGACAATAAATAAGGAAACCGAAAGAATTGATAGATATGAATGATGTTGAGCATATGATAAATAATCAGAGAATGAGTAATGTCTTAGAATAAGTAAGGCTTGAGAGGTCCTTGGAAGTGAGGATAGTGAGATTTAGTCCCATATTCTTTAGATTCCTTACTTCTAGATTTCTGTGTTGTTATGTGCCGTCGAGTCGTTTCCGACTCATAGCAAACCTATGCACAACAGCCCTAAACCCTGCTCTATCCTGTGCCAATCGCACCGCCTCTGACACACCCATCCCGATTACCCCACTCACCGAATCAATCCATCTCATAGAGGGTCTTCCCCTTCTGCGCTGTCCTTCCACCCTCCCAAGCATGATGTCCCTCTCCAAGGACCCGTCCCTCCTGGCAACATGTCCAAAGTATGTCAGACGAAGCCCCAGAATCCTTGCCTCCAAGGAGTAGCTTGGTTTAATCCTCTCCAAGATGAATCTGTTTGTTTTCCTGGCAGTCCATGGTACATTCAGTACCCTTCTTTGTGTTAAGTAGTCCAAAATACATG